GGTACAATTTTTACATATCAATAAGGTACATACATATTTATAAACCAAGACCCAAGTACCTGTGAATTTTTACCAAAAAAAATCTATTTCTCAGTAAAATGTGCATATTCACTGCTTTTGTTCTTGACATATATATATATATATATATATATATATATATATATATATATATATATATATATATATATATATATATATATAAGGGATGTCAAATTGGTCAATTTTTGATAATCGGTTACTCGAACGTTTTTCCGATCGAGTACCCGGGTACTCGGTACATGTAAAAATGTAATTTTCTTGAGCCACGTTAAGCTACATGTATGTTAAACCCCAAAGCTGTTTTTATCACGTTTATAAATGTATGTAAACATTAAGTCTAATGGAATTGATTTTTTGATACTAAATTTATTTATCAAATTAACACAAAAGACACAATTTATACATCAAAAATTACAAATGGTTTACAGTTCTTGTTTAGGATCTATTTCATCAACGCAAAAGGAGGACAATCTGTTATGCAGGTTTGTGATGATTAGACTAGCGAAAGGGAAAGAACGGACGTTGTTGGTTCGCTAGTCTAAGTTGGTTGTTTCCCCCGTGTAAACTTACTACACAAACTGACTTTCAACGTTTTTTTTTAATCTTTAATTATTTCTAAATATTTCTTTACTTTCGAAGTGGGTAGCGGCGTTTCTATGCATGTCCGATTTCGCTGCCATATATTAACTAAATAATTTAAAAATGATTTGATGATAATAGACCATACTTAATCAAATCGATGTTCACTGAAAGCAATCATTGAAGCCATCTAAAAATTAAGGACCACAATAGGTGAGAACAGCTGTGTACCAGGTGATTGGTCACTAATTACTGTATATACACAGCCACAGGCGATAACGGTTTTTTTTACAGGTGCACGTAGATGACGACTCGCTAATAACCGTATGCAGTTTTAAGTTTTTTTTTTTTTTTGATAATTTTTGACAAAAACATGTACTTTGAAATAAGAAAAAAATACACTTTCGAGTAACCGAGACCATTTTTAGTATTCGATACTCGGACGTTCGATCGAGTACCCGGTTAACCGGGTACTCGTTGACATCCCTAATATATATATATATATATATATATATATATATATATATATATATATATATATATATATATATATATATATATATATATATATATATATATATATATATATATATATAAAACAAATATATATTTTTTATTTGTGCAGACTTTATGTACATGTATATGTATAAAACTATCTGGTATATTCCTCCTTTTTTTGTCTTTCTCCTGTTAATCATGAAACTCTCTCTCTTGTGTGTATGTATATTACATGTATATGACTATATATAAGTGTACACAATATACTTTCTTTTTGCTCCATGAGGGCCCTTAATTGGTAAATAAACAAATTGAATTGAATTGAATATAATTAGGAACTAAACACACAAACTAAGATTAATTATGTGGATTCAAATTTATTAAACTCATCTCCACAACGTATGGCACAACATGTGTTTAAAGTTTTAAATGAGAATGTATAGAAAAAAATCTATAAAAATCTTCCCTATGAACAGCAATCTCAGAGATATTCATTGCAAGCATTCTCAGGTAGTGTGGGCTTATGTTTGTTAAAATCATGGCATATCGGAATATTCAGGAAGTAAATCTTCTAAATTGAGGTCATGCTAAGAGGTATTCATTTGTAAGCAATCTCGAGTAGTACAGATTTATGTTTGTCCAGATCATGGACATAAGGGTAAGGAAGGGTAACATAGTCTCTCTTCTCCTGCCCGGAAAAACAAACTTTCAACTACAATATTACCACCCCTAGATCCAGCTTTCCCCTCTCTTCTCTCTCCCTCGTATCTCACCCCATCTTTCTCAATCCTCTCTCCTCCTTCCGTCCTCTCCCACTCCTGCCTCCATTCTCTCTCTCTCACTCCTCTCCCGCATGTCTCTCCTCCTTACTCCATCCCACTCCCTCCTCTCTCTCACTCATCTCTTACGTTTTCCTTCCTCTTCTCTCTCTTTTCCATCTCTCTCTCCTCCCTTTTCCCTCTTTTCTATCTCTTCTCCTCCCTCTCTCGGTTTGGGGAATTGTTAACTTATTTATTACTTTATAGACTAATATTATTTGTCACTCATTAAATATTATAAACATGAATATATCATTCAATTTGTTTTAGGGTTTTAGATCTGTTGGTTACCATTATCGCCATAAATTAGATTAATTGTGGAATAGCTAAAAGTAGAATTATAAGGAATGATTCCCAACCGTTATACTGAAAGTTCTTGAATAATTATTTTGCACCGAAAAAATATATAGAGGATATTCAATGTTTTGTAGTTGGATATAGAATTTATTTCACAAGTGGGACAGGATTTTTGATATTTTCACGAGTGCTTCGCACTCGTGAAAATATCAAAAATCCTGTCCCACTTGTGAAATAAATTCTATATCCAACTATAAAACATTGAATTTTCTGTTTATTACATTTTCTTTGATTTTCCCTTTGCCTCTGTCTTTTCTAATACGTGTCATAGGCTGTGACGTCATAGTTGAGCAGTTGAGATGTCATAGCTTAGCAGTTGTGCGATTGAAAACATTGTAACAAAAAAATCCAACCCAGAAATTTCTTGAGAAGCAAAAAAAAGTAAACTCTTTTCTCAAGCATGAAAAACCTATTTCGCGAGCGCGCGTGTGTGTGTGTTGGGGGGGGGGGGGTAGTCGTCAACTTAACACAGATCAGCGTTTTCGAGGGGGGTCCAAGGTCACTTTTAGTTCGTTCAGTAAAAACATTTAATAAGTCTGCAAATTTCAGGGGGAGGGGTGGGGTAGGGGGCCCGGACCCCCTTCTAGATCCGCGCATTCAAGAAGTAAGAATTAAAATAAGAAATAAAAAATGAAGAATTTAATTTGGAAAACAAAAAGTTAGAATAAAAAAGAAAATAAGACCATTAAAAAATAATTGTGGCACTGATGACCCTCCATAGGTTCTCATTATCAAAATTCGACAAACGTGTAGACTTTACATTTGTAGACTTGTCAATTGTCTTTGTGTTTTATTCAGCGCGCGGAAATATAAATTCCGGAAAACAAAGTTTACAACATCAAAATTACACAAATTCATAGTATAAACTCAAAGTCAACACAGTTGTATGTTCGGAACTACATGCTAGGATGTCAGAATTACCTACTAACATATGTATACTATGAAACTGATACGATTACAATTTTGTATTCACAAACTTACAAGTTTGGATTTACAAACTTACAAGTCTGGATTTTTGAACAAGATTACCCTCCATAAATCAAGGTACACCGGACCTCGAGCCCTTTTGATATCTACATAAGTTATTAAGAATGGCGCGTGGGGAGCAATAAAAAATAACTCAGTCAATAAAAAAGGTTGGTGTACATTTCTGAATCATTAACTTTCCACAAAGGCTTATTGACGAATCATACTGACAACATTCGAAGGTCTCTCCTTTCACAGAATTATCAAAAAGTCAGTAAGCTGAAAGTGTCAATGTGCTAAAATCTTGCATGCGGTAGCCATTATGTTTTTGTTCAATTCTGACATAATGCCGTCAATAACTTTAACAGGGTAAAGATTTTTGCCATATGTCATGGTTGCCATGACAGCATACGATATATTTTTTTTTAAAAGTTACATAGTTCCGTTATTAACTTAAGGGTTTGGTTTTGTGTGCAGCCAAGTGAGACTCACTAAAAATAAAAACCTTAATATCTCAAAAATTAAGCCTTGCTAACACTTGAAAACTGGTCCATGTCATCTTCATATTGAAAACAATCTCTGGGTATATGCAGCTTAATTGACACTTGCAGCAGTTTGCAGCTATGAAGTGCACAATACACCTACAGGACTGCGCAGCTACAGGTTTTAGTGGTGCACCAAAAAATCCAAAAAAATATGAAATAGTTAAACCAATTAAGTGGCTACAACTATTTGTGAAGAACCTTTGTTTTAAATGTAAACTCACTACAATAGGTACATTTCTTTAAATGCATACTTGTTAGTTCAACTATAAAATGTTAGCCATGAAAGTAGTCCCAACCACATGGCAATATGTTAAAAATAGAATTAAAGAGACTCACTGTTGATCTAAAAATAGTACTTTATATGAAAGCCCAGATGTATCTTAAGTATTACTCTATGGTGTGTACAAAACACAGGGAAATTAATGTCAGAAAAATAATTTTCTCCTTAAAAAATATGCCAAATAAGATGTTAAAAATCTGCAGGGGGAATGAAAGTGTGCAAATTAAATAAGAGGCCTGGCCCACAACATTCACTTGAGTCACCTTGATGTTCTTCAGATTTCTAAGACATTCTTATCCCCCTTAATTTACATAAAAACAAATTTGAGCTAATACTGTGGCCCCACCCTGGGGTCATAAGGCCATGTCTAATCCAAAACTGATTCCATAACATTAGGATATTTCATTATCAATATGGTTAACATGGCTTACATGACGTACATGTTTTCTTAAGTTTTTTTTTTTTTTTCACATGTATACATGCATTTACCAATATATATATAAAATCTGATCTCAGATTTATTTAAAGAAAAAAATTGAAAAAAATACAAATAGGGAATATTTTAATATTATTATAATATCAAGTCTGGCCCATGATTTAGACCAATTTGAATCTTCACTACTTGAGGATGCTCGCATACATTATGAGTAAATCATTACCTAGTTGTTCATTAAAGGACAATTTTTTCCTATCTATTCCCATGTCAAACTTTGATAACCCTATTTTAGGGTTTAATTTTTATGGATGATAGATGGACAGACACTAGAGACTCTTTGATCAGAAAAGTTCAATAGAGCCTCTGCTCAGATGAGCTAAAATGTAAAAATGTCTTTGATTATTGTAAAAAAAGTCACCAAGAAGAACAAAAGAAAAGGATGATAAATGAACTTTTTTTTTTATTCTTAATCACTTCCAGGATATTATATTTCTTTTAACATGTTAAGCAGTATATGCAAGTTTAACTGATTTTTGTGAAAGTTTCTTTAAAGATATAAAGTATAATTTTATAAATAAGCTTCAATTCTAACAATATAACTCTAATATAACTCTCTAAAATATTTGAGGCATGTGTTCTTAGCATGGGTTTCACAAGAGCGACTTTAAAACATTTTTTTTGCATTTAAAGCACTAAACATTAAATTAGATAAAACATTATTATAATATCCTGTATCGAGATCCCAAAATGTTCTTCATTGTAAACTCATGGAAAGTTCAAATATGTATTTTTGTTTGGTCATCATATGTTCTTTTTCAATGACGTTTGGAAAGGTCAATGCATTTGTTCATACAACCATGAAATCAAAAATATTAACTTTCTCAAGTCATATCATATGAAACTAAATCACAGTCTTCACATGTTGCTGATATTTTCTCCAACACTGCTTTCCAAAAGATTAACTGTTGAGACAAACCAACATGGACCAAAACCTCTGTCATTTGAATGATCTCCTTAACTTTGAAATCTGTAAAATATTAAATATAAATAATTTATAACATACCACTAAAAAACCAATACTGTCGATCACTCTCAAAGAAGGAACTTGAATTGAAAGTTAAATCTTTACATCATGACTAAGTAAAAAGTATGCAAAGATAGACATGTAAATTTCAGGGTCAAAGGCTACACATCCCTCAGCAATGATGGTCACATTGTAAATGTTGGTTAACACTGATTGTTGCATTGAATATATCTTATTTTAATTTACAAATTAGTGTAGATCAGAGTAGTTTAATCCATATAGTAGTTTAATCCATATAGAGATAAATGAGTTTAATCTGTATACAAAGAGGTCAACCATAAATAAGATCAAGGTAAACCCAAGTGATGGTCATGTCATCTTGCCTTAGGAAATAGATGAGACAAGCACATAAGATCATTAAATAAAGCAAACAAGTATCGGTACAAAATCTGAAGGTTAAATGACAAGGTAAGGATTTGATGGCAGAATTTTAAAAACCTGATATGATGACATGTGTGATAGTAAGCTACAAGAAGATGATCAGAAACATTTCCTTCCAAAAGAGATTGAAGTTTTCAATTTTTTAAAAAGTAACCTCTGATGTGACTTTTCTTTTTTCAGTCACTGTTTACCTAACATTTGTTTTTTTATCGTTTAAGTCAACTGCAATATAAACAATTACTTTTATTGGTTTATAACGTGACATCACACATAAGGTTTGATTATTCATGATAACGATACTTTATGTTACAGTATTAGATTTATTAATTTATTTAATAAATCTATAATGTATTTCATATGTTTTTAAATTGTAAATATAAATGCATTATTAAATCTTTAAAGGTCACCCAAGTAGAACAGGCAGTACCTGTACTTAATTATTATTGCCATGGGTTATGAAGGTTCTGGTCTTTGGTCTTTGGTTTGAAGTATTCACTGTTTTCATTGGTTTGGACTTTGTAAGGTTGTGTTTTACTGGTTCAGTATTTTTCCCTCCAAAAAAAGTTGTTTGTTATGGTCATTCTTTGTCCAGTATTTGTCCAGAAAGGGTTGTATTTACCAAGTTTTATAATTACGACTTTCTGACATTGACAGAGACAATACTTTTCTCTATCAAGGTAAGATAACATTTATATACTAATTTTAATATGATTTCTAATATTTGATTTAACTGTAAAATCTGTAATTTTGCCAAAGTTAATTCCATAGCACTAGCACAGTCAGAATCTGATTTGAGAGTCAGTATTTAAGGAGTACTGTTTTATTGAAAGTATTTTTTTATTTTATATATATCTACTAGATGTTTTTATGATGATAGGTTTACTTATGTAAACTATGATAAGTTGTAGTTTTATGATCTGGACATACGTGTACAGTGAGCCATATTGTGACTACAATGAATGGGAGAGGCTCAGTCCCATAGATTGGTATGATATTTATGATATTAATGTTTTTATATATTTTATGACAATCCTGAAATAGTAAAGTCTGTGTAGACATTATTGCAGCATATAAATCAGTTTTTGTCGTATATATGTTTTTATATTTTTTCAAAGCGTAATATTAAAAGGGGGCATTGATTGTATGTAAATCATGTACAGAGTTACCTCCCTTTATGCAGCGTATCTGTTAACCGCAGATTGTAATTACTATATTGATACGGATATATTAGAATATTTTATGCTATGTATTTATTATTTGTTATTATGATTTTTCAGGGCATTATTCCAAATTCCTTCATTGTTCCATTATTCCAACTATTCTATGTGTTCATCTGTGAATGTAATAAATGGAGATGTCAGTAGAACCCTGAAACGGACTTATTTATATTTCCATGCCCCAGATTTATAATAAGACACCGTTACATTTATTCCCTCAAGCAGCCTCGGGTAGGAGAGAGCTGTAGGCGGACTCCAACCATGGCTTGAGACAATGTGATGGACACATACACAACATTCTCTTAAACAAGATCTTTCTTTTCATCCAACCACATATATATTTCTCATCCTAAAACTTGTACATTCTTTCATTCTGTCTACAGAGAATAACATCCGAATCTAATCATACAAAATGAAAATGACTAGTCAGCTCACTGTGATTATAACACCTACCTTATACACATGTCTATTAAATTTACAGAATCATTTCATTGTGAAATAAAACTTACCTTAAAGGGGAGGTTTTTGGGAGGGTTCCAACACAGGTATCACATGAAATGCAGAAATTGGCAGTCCAGAGAAAATATCTGAGCAGTGTTCTTTTTTGTGAAACAAGGCATTCTGTAAACATGGTAAACATAGTTTTAATAAATTTTAGGGGAAAAGTTCAAAAACAATTCTTTTAAATCTAGATATCAATATTAATCTTTGTTGAACATGTTGAAGGGTGTCTGTGTTATAACAGAATGGTATTTATTTCCTGAAACTGTTTCCAATAAAACTTTTTTTTCCTCTGAGACATTATAACAATAGAGTTTTGCTTCAATCTCTCCAACATCAATAAATGTGAATTTGATTATTGTTTGTTATCTTCATATTTCAATGAAAGTCTCCTCCATATTTTCTTTAAGCATTTTAACCTCAATGTGTCAATCTATACCAGATTTCTCAATTTTTTTTTATTGGTCCCATCAGGATAGAAATACAAGGTTTGCCTGTACCATTAAAATGCAGGTCCTCAAATAAAAAAAATAATAACCTTTGAGATAAAGTGGTGGCTACGTGTACATTCATTTTTTTTTCAATTTTATTGAAAAATCTTTAAGTTAGAAGTTTTTACAAGAATATTATGGTATTTATGGATCAATACCAAGATTTACCCCCCACCCCCAGCACCTTGTCTCTTCCTTACAAGTGTAACCAACAACCTAAGTCTGATTGAGCATATGAAAAACTTTCATAAAATGAAAATTCAATAAAAAATAAACATGCTTGGTAGCATTTGATTCAGCATGCTCAATGGTAACTTAAGATCAGGTAAGACCCCCTTATTATACTCCGGCCCTTTTTGATGAAACCAATGCAGTTGCAGAAATTCAAGTTTTCAATCGTAACCATTTCAACTAGAGAATACTAATTATTAACACTTCATGCAAAAAAAAAAGCTTTTTTTTCAAATTTGCTGCACTCTTCATTTGATGAACAATTTACATATTTCAAGCAATAAGCAAATTAATTAAGTTGACATCCTTGAAAATTTTTATCGTTTAATTTACTTTTCCCCATGAGAACTACATACACTGCAATAATCTGCAAATTAGAAGGACCAAGTCCAAAATGATGGTTTTTATACATAGTAAAAACTTATGTGAATATTATTTATATAAATAATTAATAATACCTGCATCTCTTTTACTAAAAGGAAAACGAAAAAGCAATAAAATTTGAAAATCAAAATTCTGATTTACAAATAACACAACTGATTTACCATATATGTGTACTACGTAGAGCCACTTCACTTAGCCGTCATTGGACATTTAACTTGGTGTGTCTGAGGCTCAATGAAGGATCTTGCACAAAAATCGCTCATTAATGAAAACAAAATTTAGTTATTTACTCTACTCATAATATTTGAAACCCTTTTTTGACTGAACTATATTTTGATACCATGACGAATACTATTAGTATTTTGAAATATAGTAACATTTATCAGAGGAACCTTAAATATTGCCCGCTACCAAATTGTGGTCTGCAACACACAAGTGGAAATTCTCAGATCCTTTGTATAAGGTTTAACCTTTTTAAAATTGATGTGCATCAGATCGCAGGCGTTGTCATACTCAAAATGTATTACTGATACTAGGAGTTATATCGTATATCTGAGATAAGGCTCATAATTCACAATAAACACAAAATATCCACTTACCAGCTCCTACTTTCACTTTAGCCGAATATCGCATGACAGACCTCAGAAATAAACTACGCTGAGTGAATATAGTTCTTAATTTTCGTGCAATATTTTTCAATATTATATGACATTGTCCTGCATTTGTAGGATTAATATGCTAATTTGATAAAAGGTAATTAATAGCCTTACCTGCAAAAGAAATAACAGACGTTAACTTCAGTCGGAACAGCAAAAACTGAGCGCGTATTAATTTATCTGGTCATTGTAAAATCAAAGACGGAGCATTCTCTTGATATGACGTAAACATCGATGTTACTTTTATAATAAACAATATTAAACATTTAGATCGAAACATTGTAATAGCTGGAGATGTTTTACGAGATATCTCTCTAATTGCTTTGTGTAATTGGGGTACTGGAGACATCAGATTACAAAAATAGTCAGTTGGTTTCAATACCGGAATGGCAACCCACAGATTTCGCATGGCGGACATGCCTAGTTGATGAAAAACAGACAGTTATGAAGAAAGTACGCACAGAATTGCTAGGAACGAAACAAATAGTTGTACCCATGACGTTCAACTATCTGCACATATACAACAAATGTAATGTTATTGTTTTGTTAGACCTGTAGCTGTGCAGTCCTGCGAGTGTAATATGCACATTATTGCTGCATGACATTGCAAGTGACAATCAAACTGCATACATATCAAGACAGCTTTCCCATGGAAGGTGTCATAGGTCAGTTTTCAAGAGTAAGCAAGAAGTATTTATTAAGATATTGAGATTTTTATTTCGTACGAGTTTCACTTGGATGAACACAAAACCAAACCCTTAAGCAACAATGTACAAAAGTGACAGTGATTTGTCTAAAAGATGAAAACCTGATGTCTAATTGGAATGATAAAAATATTTGGGAATACAGTATCATGGAATTAAAGTATTGAAAAGCAAAATTTTATTTATTCGTTTTGATCATAAACATTCAAATATTAGGAGCAATTATAAGTTGAAATAGAAAGGTCCTAAAAAATATTATAAGGAATTAAAGTATTGAAAAGCAAAATTTTATTTATTCCTTTTGATCATAAACATTCAAATATTAAGCGCAATTATAAGTTGAAATAGAAAGGTCCTAAAAAATATTATGATAAGCTATTATAATACCTGTGATATTTTATTTATCAATTGGTTGCAATGGCAATAAATCTTCGAAGTGATTTCTTTTGTCTCTTTCTTACAGAACACATTTTTGAATAACTTGAGGGCATTTTTTTATGATGGTTTTGAAAAGAATTTTGCATTTTAAAAAACTGGAAAAGTCAAGAGTTTCTCCTTCACATACACGTGTTTTTCGAGCAATGATTGACACAATTTTGACGTCAGTTACAATCAAAATTAAACACTTTGTTATATACATTCATAAACAAATAACTAAAGTGGGTCAGATAACTGATTAGAATAAAATAAGTATGAAAGGAAAAAATGGACGAAAATGTTGCTTACTGGCCTAGCTGTGTTGAGCCAATCTAATTAAAATTAGATCGTGTAGCGATCTAGTTGGAGCGGATCAGAGATCTAATTTTAATTAGATTGGTGTTGAGCAGGAGATCACTATTCAAAGCGGTATAACTCTGACATTTCACACTCCTGATCTGATTTCCAGGTATTGCTAGAGACCTTTAATTAACTAAAGATATTGGTTTCATCTCTATAAAAAAAATAATTTCAAATTCAATGTAATTCTTGGGATAAAAAAAATATATTAAATTAGTGATAATAAAAGAAAATAGTTTATTGAATCTCTATATTTAAATGCCATCTACCGCGTACATGTATAGTTGACCTCTTGTACAGGTAACGGAGTGGAACAGAGACAATTGTATTTCGTGGAAAGGAAGCCTTCCTCTTCGGGAACCAATAAAACTGAGCTTGACATTTTATTTTATTTCGAGGTACAAACTGTACTTTTTTGGATTTGTTGTCCACCGTGAGACAGTATGTCTGACTTACAACATCCAGTAACGACCACAGTGTCCACCCTTACCCCGATTAGAGGGGGTATTGTTCAGCAGAGTCATGTTGCAGCTGCCAACACAACTGATGTAGCCGCTAGTACATCCACCGCTATAGCTGTACCCGGCGGCGCTGGCACGAGAAGTACAGCAGTTGCTGCTAGCGGCGGAAATGTTGCGGCGCTACAAACCACCGCCACCCTTACCGCCACCGGAAAAGCAGTGACCGTGGGAGAAGATCCGCGCGCCAAGCTTATGTTTTATCTCAGCAATATTTCGAGCGTTTTCGTCGAATTTTACGACGTCTGTAGATTGATTCTACAAGTAGAATCAGATGACGATATTTTTCCTCTTCTAGATCACGACGCATTTTATAAACTGACAACAAAACAAAGCGACCAGATGCTGAGATTGTGTGAAGTCTTGTGTCCCAATGTGTTCATCAACAAATGTATTTTCCAAGATGCAGCAAAATGTGGAAATTTTCAAAATGAATTTTTCAAACTCGAAGAAGTTGAAAAATCACTTGCCATTCAAAACGAGGTGATCATTAGAGGTGAAAAACGCCACGTCTCCAAAATAATGTACTACACTCCTAATTACTTAAATGACAATTATTTTGAGCCCATGAAGCATTTGGATCACCGACTGAGAGTATTAAGACGAGGAGAAACTGAGTAAGTAACATATGACAAGCAAATTCATAGGCATAGGCTAGTACTAGTTTTCGATAAATAGGAAAGAATCTGATTTAAATAAAAGAACTTCAAACTTTTCGCATCACATTATATTGTTCTATAGAAAAAAGGGCATCACTGATTTGTGATAGAAAACTTTACAGAGGACTTGAAAAATCAATAGTCATTAGATTTATTTTCAACAGTTCTTCAATAATCATGAATTTTTTTTCTAACCAAAAATCTAGAACGCTGGAACCTCAAGTGAGGCTAAAACATTTAAACACCCTGATCTCAACATTTTATCACCAGTATCTTCTATTTAAATATACTGTAATTTCTTCATTTTATGGCGTAATCATGTCAATATATACTACACACTTGTCTTAATGTAAGGTATTCTGAACATTATATTTGGTCACTCATAATATCATGCCTTTATTTCTGTTAATGAGGTCAGAACGATAATTTAGCTGCCAGGGGAATACACCGTTTACAGAAGCCGAGGAGGAGACAACAGGAAAGAACTGCATATGATATGAATATAACTGCCATTGTTAAACAATTATTTACTTTTTAAGGGTATCTTTCGCCGAAAACTACAAACTACACCTGCTGATGTCTCTGATTTTTCCATTCTGGGTCGTGATCTGGACTGCGTTGGTGGGCAAACACTTTTTTGTGATATCAAAGGGAGTGAAATAATTATTATGAAATAGACTAATATCTTTAATAAAAAACAAACAAAAAAAAAAGCTAGAGTATCTGTATGTGAAACAGAAATCTACCAGAAATTAGCCTTTTTGTGGATCTGAAATCAGCTGCCTCTGACATGTACATTTCTTTCAAAATCATTTTGTTTAATTATTATCTAATTTACTCGTTTATTTTTTTTGTCAGTGTGTGTATGAAAGTCGGCCAGGCGATCAGACACCAGCATCGACTGTACCTTGACGAAGCCATACATCTAATGACATTGTGTACAGGACATACACTGTGGACTTGTATACCATAAATCTGTTGATATCTTCCAGTACTAAAAAGTATCACATTTTAAATGGTCATTATACATGTATTTCATTTAACAAATGTCTAAATGCTCAACCAAGCAACAATTCTATGCATTTTGGTTTTGAAAATAAACTATTGAATTTTTAAGTATTAACTTTTTTCGTTATTCATTCTGGCTAAAGCCTCGAAATAACTTTCACTGGAAACATTTTGAGGAAAGTGAACTGTACCATTTCTTTGTTTTGTGGATGAAAAGACTCTGAAATCATACATTTCAAATCGCAATCAACATTCAAACAACGTCAACGACTCATAGATATCATATACTTGTAGATTTATAAACTCGGTGAGTCCCTGATTTTCACCAAACCCTTTGGGATTGATTACCCACGATACGGGAAACATTGTCTTTATTCATTGTCTTTATTTTATGGGTGATAAATATGGTCCATACCCAAGGTTCTGAAAATCAGCAGTTAAGTAATTGAATATACTCGGAAAAATGCCATTAAATTCACAAAGTAATGTGTATTTACCCATGTTATTTCTTCGAAGTATTAAGTATTAACTTGTAATTAGTAATGTGTATTTACCCATGCTTTTTCTTCAAAGCCCATCATTAATGTTATTCATATTACATGTGTAGGGAAAATTATCAAATCTAAAACATATTTTCAGAAATCGTGAATAAAAGCACCAATGATGCATTTTTTAATAAAAAAAAAAAATATCAACGAGTATTTTAGGATTTAAAAAAATTGAAGGTATCCAGGCATTCAGAGAAATTTGCATTTTTTAAAAAAAATAATTAGGCATTATTTTTGTTCTTCTATTAACTTCAGTTGTTATATAACACAATGTTAAAAGCATATGATATATTTGCAAGATATCAGAGATCAATTTGTTGTGTTCAGCAAGATTGAAGGAAATATGTGCTTTTTATAAAAGTTTCCCTTAGATTCCAAAGTATTTTGAATCATATAAGGAATATAAGGAAGCATAAGAATAAAAATTGTTGCACGAAAAAAATCATTATCAAGCTTTTCGACTCATTCAATTAAAGAATAATTGAGTTATTGTCCCTGGCTGAGGATCCGGAGCAGAACACTAAAAAGCACGGGCGAATTAAAGTAGTTTCTTCTCAATCTTTGAAATTACCTTTAATTTATTTTTATTAGCTATTTCATATATTTTTATATATGATCATATACATGTTATCATTCGTCTTTCCTTTTGGGGGGTAAGGGAATAAACTTAAATTAAATATAATGCAAGCAGTGAGACTTCTTTTGAATAATTTCAGGTTTAGAGGAAAGGCGTCTAAAATTCTATTCACTACTAATACACTGTAATTTAAAACGCAGAGTTCAACAGACAAACCCTGACGTAATTTAAGTAGTAGCCTATTTCTAAAGACTCGTAATCATTGCAGATATTTTCAAACATGACCTGTTGTGACGAAAATAAGTTCTAAAGAAATGTAAGTAAAGGGTCGATCAATGGTTTTCAACAATACGTTGCTGAGGGTATTTCTTTGGATGATATGTGTACTCCCGTATGAGTGTATTGGTAAGTGTTATTTAGTTTTTACAGTGAAAAATTTAATGAAATAAACATTTATCTACGTCTTCGTTTTTCCAATCGTATATAGTGGAAGATAAAAAGCTTGAGGCCTGCTATGGCGATGGCTGGCAATTACTGCCGTCGTGTGACTTTGAAGAACTTGTTTATCCGCACCACATATTTTTCGGTGCCAAGGATCCAAACAGTTGTCCTGCGGTACTGCATAAAAACGAGACGAATTCTAACCTAACAGATCTGTGTTGCCGGATTGATCAGTATAACACGTGTGGAGGGTTAGTAAATATTTCAAATTATAGAACGTACAAGGATTATTTTGGGAACTGTATTGGAGAGGTCCAATGTACAGACGTACCAATAGAGCGAACACAGAGCTCAGCTTTTTCCAGTACCTGTAATCCACAGTTCCATGAAAACACAACACTAGTTACTATGATTTATCAATGTGTTAAAGGTAAGGACTTAAAATGAAACAATAAGTAGTCGGAATTGGCATTTTGTGCAAATATGTCACTCACCCCAATTAATAACTCGAAGAAGTCAAAGAAGCAAATGGATAATATTGGAATTCTAATTACAGGTGTAAGAAATATATTTAACACGGACATCATCACAAATCATTCGGATATTCATTTGAAAGGACAGGAATATAGCAACCCAATACTGCAAAGAAGATCAGACTGCAATAATGTTGATGACGTCATTCAGTGTTCAGTAGAGGCCAAGGGTTGTGATGATGAGATTGACGTGCAAGCGTGGGACCTGAGGCTGGAATGTGGACAGGAGTTGTGGTTTTGCAATTTAAATGAAACCGTCAAACTAACATGCAACAATAACACAGGGATTCAGAAAACTGACATGTACCAGAGTTTGTCTAATTACGTCATTGTGACGTTCAAAAACAGCCTGTCGCGTGATGGTGGATTCTTCTGGTTTGTCTTTAACCCTGGTACAGTTTGTTGATATCACATGTATTATGTAGAAATTTAAGTTTTTTAAGCAGACAAATGTGCATATGAGTACATCCTACAACATTTTGCGTCCTACTTTGTGAAGAATTTAACTTAAAAATTTACTTAATTTTTCCAGTTCCAGTAAATTCCTCCTTAACAGTAAGCTGTCCTGTAAAGAAACCAAGCTGTCCCCGATCGTCCAGTTGTCAGACACTTCGGAGACGGACCTGTCTTTCTGATGACACTGAGGATGACAACATTTTATGTAAGTAACCATAGCCAGTGTATCAGAAGAGAAAAATGAACACTCATAGTCATAGTCAAATATGCCCCTGGACTTGAATATTTCAAAATTAATTCATTTTTATGACAAAACTTCATTGGCGAATACCAGATATATCTAGTTATATTTCCAAGGAAATGATAATAAACATATTTTATTTATTTTTACGGGTTCCTTTTTTTTCATGTAAACCTATGAAAGATCGGTAATGAAACTTGGAATTTACATGTAATGGAAAATTAATTTTCCACTTCTATTTGTTCTATTTTTAGGTCACCTGAGTCACTCAGGTGACCTATTGCTATCCGTTCTCGTCGGTCGGCGTGCGTCGTGTGTTAACATTTGAACATTTTTAGCTTCTTCTCTGAAACCGCTTAACCAATTTCAACCAAATTTGGCATATACATGTAGCATCTATGGGTGAAGGGGAACAAATTTGTGAATTTCATGGTCCCTGCCCCCCTGGGGCATGAGGGGTGGGGCCAAAACCACCAAAATTAATGCAATCTTTAAAAATCCTTTTCTTTAGTCCTGAACATCAAACAGTCAAACTGATGGCATCATTGTAATAAGCATTGAGCCCTCTACCAAAATTGTGAAATTCATGGCCCCAGGGTCTGGGGTTCTGGTGTTAGGATGGGGCTCTATTGACTATATAGTGAAAATGCATTAATTCTTTGAACATCTTCTTCTCTGCTCCTGGGTATTAAATAAAGTAACTAAGTTCATAGTTATGATGAGTAAGAGTGCCTCTTCCAAAATTGTGAATTTTATGGCCCCTGGGTTAGGGGTTCTGGTGTTAGGGTGGGGCTTTATTGATTATATAGTTAAATTGCATTAATTCTTTTAAAATCTTTTTCTCTGCTCCTGGGTTTTAAATAAAGTAACTAAGTACACAGTTATGATGAGTAAGAGTGCCTCTTCCAAAATTGTGAATTTTATGACCCCTGGGTTAGGGGTTCTGGTGTTAGGGTGGGGCTTTATTGATTATATAGTTAAATTGCATTAATTCTTTGAAAATCTTTTTCTCTGCTCCTGGGTATTAAATAAAGTGACTAAGTACATAGTTATGATGAGCAAGAGTGCCTCTTCCAAAACTGTGAAATTCATGGCCCCAGGGTCTGGGGTTTTGGTGTTAGGGCGGGGCTCTATTGATTATATAGTGAAAATGCATTAATTCCTTGAAAATCTTCTTCTCTACTCCTGGGTATTAAATAAAGTAACAAAGTAAATAGTTATGATGAGCTAAAGTGTCTCCTCCAAAGTTGTTAATTTCATGGCCCCTGGGTCAGGGGTTCTGCTGTTAGGGCAGGGCTCTATTGATTATATAGTGAAAATGCATTATTTCTTTGAAAATCGTCTCTGCTCCTGGGTATTAAATAAAGTAACTCAGTACATAGTTATGATGAGCAAGAGTACCTCTTCCAAAATTGTGAATTTCATGGCCCCAGGGTCCGGGGTTCTGGTGTTAGGGCGGGGCTCTATTGATTACATAGTGAAAATGCATTATTTCTTTGAAAATCTTCTTCTCTGCTCCTGGGTATTAAATAAAGTAACTAAGTACATAGTTATGATGAGCAAGAGTGCCTCTTCCAAAATTGTGAAAGGCATGGCCTCAGGGTCAGGGGTTCTGCTGTTAGGGCGGGGCTCTATTGATTATATAGTGAAAATGCATAAATTCTTTGAATATGTTCTTCTATGCTCCTGGATATCAAATAAACTATGTACATAGTGACGATGAATAATGATGAGCATGGTTGCCTCTTCCAAAATTATGAATTTCATGGCCCCTGGGTCAAGGGTTCTGGTGTTAGGGCGGGGCTCTATTGATTATATAGGGAAAATGCATAAATTCTTTCAAAATCTTCTTCTCTGCTCCTTGGTATTATTCAAACAAAGGAAGTGCATGATTAAGATAAGGAAGAATGCCTCTTCCAAATTGTGAAATTCATGGCCCTTGGGTCAGGGGTCAAGTGAAGAGGGGGGGGGGACTCTATTGAATATATATTGAAAATGCATAATTTCTTTCAAAATATTTTTTTCTACTACTGGATATAAAGCAAAGAAACAAGTGTATAGTTATGATGAGAAAGGGTGCTTCTTCCAGAATTGTGAGTTCATGGCCCTGGGTCAGATGTTCTGGTGTAAGGGTGGGGCTTTATTAATTTAATAGTATAGTGAAAATGAAATTCTTTGAAAATCTTCTATGCTTCTGGGCATATTCGAGGCAAACAGTGTAGAAGTTTTAATATGCAAAGGTATTTTTACCAGAATTATGAACACCTGTTCCATTTAGTCAAGTGTTCTGGTCCTGCCCAGTGGTCTATTAACTTGTATTTGCTGAGCAAAGTTATTCCCCTTTGCCATTCACCTTTGATAATTAATCACTGTAAACAATATTTTAAAGGAAGGTTAATAGAATACGAGAATTATGCAAGAATATTTATTGTAAAATACAAAAAGTACTTTCACAATTGTAATGATCAGGTAGACTTGGAAATAATAGATGAATAAAATTGAGACAAAATAACTTATCTTTTTAAATGTTCTTCAAAGGCCAAGAGAGGCCAATGTGAGAAGTAATAATATGGGGTTAAAAAATAGACATTTTGTTAAATAGTCTGCACGGTAATAGTGATAAATGTGGGATAGATAGATACTAGACCAACTATTTTGTTGATGCTAATCATACTATATTTCTTGCTTTTGGGCAACAAAGCTTTATTTATCAGTTTATGGATCCTCTAAATTGTTGTATTGTACTCAGGTGACCGTTAAGGCCCTTGGGCCTCTTGTTATTTTATGAAGTTCCCATCTATATCATTCTTACTGGTACTCTTTCAGTTATAATTGCTGGAGCTGTTGGGTGTGTAATCTTATTCATCATCATTGTGGTTGTTATACTTATCGTGATAAAGTGGAAACATCGACAGAGAAAGAAGATCGATCCGAATGTAAATAATTATTTAATAAATAAAAAAAAACCATTAAAAAGTAATGATGAATCCAAATCAAATTCAAATAGAGACATCCATAAAATTATTTTTGTATTAAACAAATACTTGTAGTTAAATATTTTATCTTTTTTGCCTCTGAAAATCAATTGCATTTAATTTTTTTCCAGACTGAGACCACCCAGAAGAATCTATATGATAAAAGAAATAGAAATGGGTATATACCTGAGTTACAGACTGCATCACAAGCACATGTACGCTTAATTTCTTTTATACAGCTTAGTTTCTCTGTCATATTTAGGGCAGGGGCTGTTAAATTTTAAGTTACATGCAGGTTTCCATCCAAAATTTAAATTTTGAAAAAATAGTTAAGTAATACAAACCGTTTCTTTATCTATTTACAGATACTCCACACAAACTACCGCTTACCTCCCATTCTAACCACTAAACAGCATCTAGAGAAAGAGAAAAGCAAGAAACAGAAAAGAGAGAAGAAAAAGAAGAAAGAAAGAAGGGAGAAATTACAATCTGAGAACAATACAGCCCGAGATTTAAATGGACCATCGACATCAAGGGAAGTAACTGAAATCTCAGGGGGACGAAAGGGAAAGAAAAAGAAGAAAAATAGAGTGAAAGACAAAGAGGTTGAAGATACTACAGACAAGGAGCTAAAAAGATCGATTTTAAGGGAGGAGTCTGAATTGTCAGAGGGGAGGAAACAAAAGAAAATCAAGAAGAGAAAAAGCAAGAAAAACAAAGATAACTCAAAGGACAATGAATCAATGGGCGACTGAATGGCGTTTGTAGAGGAATGATCTCTTTCTGGGAATAGCTACATGTATAGCTTGCACAATTTTACACATACAAGTTTATTCTAAATTTGAGTAAAAGTTTAGCGAACACTTTGAGTATGTACAATTTGATCTAATGTTTCTATTTAAAATTAATTATTATTTAATTCGTTTTAATTCTTTGTGAAATTGTCCATGATGTAATTTTGACGTTCTATGTTGCAAAAAAATATCATAATTAAAACACAATTACAAAATTGAGTGACAACTTCATGTTTCAGCCCAGGTCTTTCGAAGAGTAAATTCTAACGCGCTAAAAAATTACCTATCTTCTATTTTCTCCAGCTGGCGTTCAATTCTTTTTTATGCCCCCGAAATCGAAGATTCGGAGGCATATAGATTTTGCCCTGTCCGTCCGTTTAGCTGTCTGTTTGTCCGCAAAAACTTCAACCTTGCCTATAACTTTTGATTGGTTGAAGCTATGGCTTTCATATTTAACATGTGTTTATTCCTTGTGACAACACCTTTCTTTGGGTACCATCATACTTGACATTGGAATTTGACCCAGTTTTGCAAACTTTTACCAACTTTAACCTTGGCGATAACTTTTAAACAGTTGGTTCTAGGGCTTTAATACTTCAAATGTATAATTCTTGTGAAAAGACCTTCCTTTGGATACCAACAACTTTGACCCTTTTACCTTGCGCTTGGAGTTTGACCTTCTTTTGACAAACTTTAATCTTGGCCAAGTAGAATCCTGAATCAGGATTTTTAAACAAATTCATCTCAACCATTTTTTACCCCCCCCCCCCCCGTTATCGAAGATTGGGGGGCATATAGTTTTTGCCCTGTCTGTCTAGCTGTCTGTCTGTTTGTCCACAAAAGCTTTAACCTTGCCCATAACTTTGGAGTTTGAACCAGTTTTGCAAAATTTTACCCAACTTTAACCTTGGCTATAACTTTTAAATAGTTGGTGCTAGGGCTTTCATCATTTACATGTGTAATTCTTGTAACAAGACTTTTCTTTGGATACGTATTTCCTATTTTTGTATTCATATGATGCAGAATTTGTCCAAAATCTTATACATGAAAAGAAGAAAACACTTGCTGTGGCCTTCAACTCGACATTTAGATATATCGACGACGTAGTGCCATTCTTATGTCGATACGATATATCCTGGTGAGCTTGAAATAAGATACGACATAGACTGACACGTCTGTTTCAACAACCAAAATTTATGATAAACATGATGAATTTAACTTTTCAATTGTCAACTTCCCGTACTTATGCAGCAATGTACCTTCATCACCTGCACGCCTGCATACGGGGTTTATATTTCTCAGTTGATTCGATATGCAAGAGCATGCTCTACGTATGAACAATTTCTAAAACGAGGTAAGTGAATGAAAAACAAGTTGATGAATCAAGAATATCAGCAGTCTTGTTTAAAGTCGTCATTTCGTAAGTTCTATGGTCGATACAATGACCTTGTCAGCAAATACAATTTATCATTAAGTCAAATGCTGACAGACGTTTTTCATACTAATTGTAAGGCTATTATTTACACCCTGAATTGTCGACGGATATTTCCGTTATTTTCTAATCATGACAAGGAGCACACGGCAGAGGATGCTCGCTCCTCCACAGCACCTGATCCCACCTATGATGTTTTGGAGGTCCGTGTTTGCTATGCTCCAAAATTTGTATTGTTTAATGGACTTTTGAGCTTGAATACTGTTCGTTATCTCCATATATTTCATACCAACAACTTTGACCTTGACCTAGGAGATTGACCTACTTTTGGAAAACTTAAGCCTTGGCCATAACGTTGGACACTTGGTGCTAAGGCTTTGATATTTCACATGTGTATTTCTTGTGAGAAGGCCTTTCCTTGGGCACCATTACTTCTGACCATTTAACTCTGGAGTTTGACTAGCTTTTGAAAAATATTCATTTTTTTTAATATCTTTTCAATGGTTGCTGTTAGGGCTTTCATATTTCACAAGTATATTCCTCGAGACAAGACCTTACTTTGTGTACCAACATATTTGATTTGCATTTGAGAAAGTTTAACCTTCGTTATAAGTTGCCTTAAGGGGGCATCAATGTTTCATAAACACATCTTGTTTTTTTTTTAATTTCTTAGCCTTTTCCTTGAATTTCATACTAAATTGAATCCATCTTTTCACATCTTTCAGTCCCGCCCAATATTATTTTGAGCAAAAGTCGACAGTTCAGCCAAAGTAAATACTGAAGCTAACTGGTCAATATACTCCTGGGTCTACAAGAGTGCACTTCTATTTTCTTAATTCAAAAACATGTACTGAGATAAACAAAATTTTGTCTTAATGCAGAAGTTTCATTACGGATTTTTGATAATTAAGTGTTTATCTAATGACAGGATCAATAACTGAAGCGTTTTCCTTAGAGACTGTTTATTGCAAGCACTAAAAATTCAGAAAATGCAAAAGCAATTATAGATATACATGTAATTGTGTTCTATACATTTGATTGATTGCCAACCAGTTTTGCATTCATTGTTAATTAATCCGTATTATCGAGCCTTTCACTTAATTTATTTATCAAACATTTCACATTGATTTCAGACCAAACACACCAGTACGACTGTACAGACACGCCTTCGCTTCCCCGTATTGTCATCATTGTATTCTCCCTTTCTCAAGGACGAGGTCAAGTACGGTCTTGTAGAGTAGGCTCTCCCTTCTAAAATCTTTCTCCCCGGAAAATAGGCTCTAGGGTAGGATTTTCCTCACGAAAAAGTGACTCTAGAGTAGGATTTCCCCTACGAAAATTCCACATCAAGCAGATTCAATTTTCCAGGGGAAAATCCTACTCTGTGTAATAGTTATAGAGTGCAATTTCTCCAAGAGCCAATTTTCCAAGGGAAATTATCAGGAAATAAACTTATAAAATTAACGTAACAGATATTATATTCAGCACAGATTTGCAAGGCTGGAGAAACTTCCAAATTACCATGTATGTTCTACTATGTTAAATAAACTTAAAATATGTGGAAGTTAATTGAGTTTTGAATTTTGAGAATTTAGATTTTTCAGCTAAATTTTTTAATTCTAAAATTCGAAGTATGAAATCAGATATGTCAGCCTGAGTTTTGAAAAATCAGAATCTTGAAATAAAGTATCGAAATTTTAACACACTAAATTCTCTTACAAATTTTAATTCTTATGAATATCATGAAAAGCAACTGAAAAAAGCTATTAAATCTAAGCAAGAGAACCTCCAAAGTCTTATTTCATTTTACTGCCCTCCTATATTTATAACGAATACAAAAACTGCGTGGGATGCACGGCGTCCCTGTACGTAATACATAGGTAGCGATTGGTCTCATTAGAAGCTATTTCAAGATAATCTTGTCTAACTATTAATAGCCGACAGGAAGTCATTTCAATTTATAGAATCTCGTGACAAGCTTAACGTCAATCACAAAATTGATTGCTCTGGAAGATTGAAATAATAAGACTATCCTGGACCGACATAAAGTACTCCTAATTTTTTTTAATTACTTTGAATGAATACGTGATGTTTTATGACCTGTGTAAATAAGCACTTCAGTTCCGAAAATATCACACTAGAGTTTAATTTTTTCCCGAAGAACTATAAGCGTAAATTTAAATGATAGGTTCATGGGAAAAAATTATAGCGCCTTCATTGCAATAAATCAAATTAAAAAGAAAAAGAAAATCAAGATAGTTCAAGCACAAAATTCGATTTAAGAATTTTATCTGACAACATGCAGTCCACTGTCGGCCAAATGCTGCATAATTCTGATAACGGAAGTAGTAAATGGTGTAGAGCTCCGTCCATCCCGGAAGTCAGTATCCAGAAAGCCATTAAGATGGCTAGGTTAATATATCAGAGAGATTCACGCGATCGCTCAATTTACTAAGGCTATAAGACGCAATCCTTAACGATGCGCTATCTGTTCAAACTTACCTTGTAAATCCGCATTTATCATCGATATATACAGAGAAATATAAAGCCGTGTAGAAGACCAAGTAACATGACCTTCAATACTTCCTCTTGAGCAATGATGAGCACTAGACAACGTGGATCTACCACTGTACAGACAAACCTCTCTACCAATTTTGGACAAATTCTGACAAAGCTTTATACAGATGTAACTACTGACGATTTGAATAATGAATGGAATAATATGTCGTCTGATGATGACGTCATAAACCTTTTAACCACACACAGTGATTGGTCTCATTACAGAAGTATCATCGCTGAGGAATACGTAAAGTCTATTTTGGGACCGAAAAGAAATGAGGATTGTTACGTCATACTAACACTGGCTTATGTAGTTATTTTCATTACTGGACTTGTAGGAAATTTGACCAC